TTCAGGTGTATATCAGTATGTAGTGTCTCTACTTTAAAGAGTCCTCTCCTGCTGATGTTCAGGTGTATATCAGTATGTAGTGTCTCAACTTTAAAGAGTCCTCTCCTGCTGATGTTCAGGTGTATATCAGTATGTAGTGTCTCTACTTTAAAGAGTCCTCTCCTGCTGATGTTCAGGTGTATATCAGTATGTAGTGTCTCTACTTTAAAGAGTCCTCTCCTGCTGATGTTCAGGTGTATATCAGTATGTAGTGTCTTTACTTTAAAGAGTCCTCTCCTGCTGATGTTCAGGTGTATATCAGTATGTAGTGTCTCTACTTTAAAGAGTCCTCTCCTGCTGATGTTCAGGTGTATATCAGTATGTAGTGTCTCTACTTTAAAGAGTCCTCTCCTGCTGATGTTCAGGTGTATATCAGTATGTAGTGTCTCGACTTTAAAGAGTCCTCTCCTGCTGATGTTCAGGTGTATATCAGTATGTAGTGTCTCTACTTTAAAGAGTCCTCTCCTGCTGATGTTCAGGTGTATATCAGTATGTAGTGTCTCTACTTTAAAGAGTCCTCTCCTGCTGATGTTCAGGTGTATATCAGTATGTAGTGTCTCTACTTTAAAGAGTCCTCTCCTGCTGATGTTCAGGTGTATTTCAGTATGTAGTATCTCTACTTTAAAGAGTCCTCTCCTGCTGATGTTCAGGTGTATTTCAGTATGTAGTGTCTCTACTTTAAAGAGTCCTCTCCTGCTGATGTTCAGGTGTATATCAGTATGAAGTGTCTCTACTTTAAAGAGTCCTCTCCTGCTGATGTTCAGGTGTATATCAGTATGTAGTGTCTCTACTTTAAAGAGTCCTCTCCTGCTGATGTTCAGGTGTATATCAGTATGTAGTGTCTCTACTTTAAAGAGTCCTCTCCTGCTGATGTTCAGGTGTATATCAGTATGTAGTGTCTCTACTTTAAAGAGTCCTCTCCTGCTGATGTTCAGGTGTATATCAGTATGTAGTGTCTCTACTTTAAAGAGTCCTCTCCTGCTGATGTTCAGGTGTATATCAGTATGTAGTGTCTCTACTTTAAAGAGTCCTCTCCTGCTGATGTTCAGGTGTATATCAGTATGTAATGTCTCTACTTTAAAGAGTCCTCTCCTGCTGATGTTCAGGTGTATATCAGTATGTAGTGTCTCTACTTTAAAGAGTCCTCTCCTGCTGATGTTCAGGTGTATATCAGTATGTAGTGTCTCTACTTTAAAGAGTCCTCTCCTGCTGATGTTCAAGTGTATATCAGTATGTAGTGTCTCTACTTTAAAGAGTCCTCTCCTGCTGATGTTCAGGTGTATATCAGTATGTAGTGTCTCTATTTTAAAGAGTCCTCTCCTGCTGATGTTCAGGTGTATATCAGCATGTAGTGTCTCTACTTTAAAGAGTCCTCTCCTGCTGATGTTCAGGTGTATATCAGTATGTAGTGCCTCTACTTTAAAGAGTCCTCTCCTGATGATGTTCAGGTGTATATCAGTATGTAGTGTCTCTACTTTAAAGAGTCCTCTCCTGCTGATGTTCAGGTGTATATCAGTATGTAGTGTCTCTACTTTAAAGAGTCCTCTCCTGCTGATGTTCAGGTGTATATCAGTATGTAGTGTCTCTACTTTAAAGAGTCCTCTCCTGCTGATGTTCAGGTGTATATCAGTATGTAGTGTATCTACTTTAAAGAGTCCTCTCCTGCTGATGTTCAGGTGTATATCAGTATGTAGTGTCTCTACTTTAAAGAGTCCTCTCCTGATGATGTTCAGGTGTATATCAGTATGTAGTGTCTCTACTTTAAAGAGTCCTCTCCTGCTGATGTTCAGGTGTATATCAGCATGTAGCGTCTCTACTTTAAAGAGTCCTCTCCTGCTGATGTTCAGGTGTATATCAGTATGTAGTGCCTCTACTTTAAAGAGTCCTCTCCTGATGATGTTCAGGTGTATATCAGTATGTAGTGTCTCTACTTTAAAGAGTCCTCTCCTGCTGATGTTCAGGTGTATATCAGTATGTAGTGTCTCTACTTTAAAGAGTCCTCTCCTGCTGATGTTCAGGTGTATATCAGTATGTAGTGTCTCTACTTTAAAGAGTCCTCTCCTGCTGATGTTCAGGTGTATATCAGTATGTAGTGTATCTACTTTAAAGAGTCCTCTCCTGCTGATGTTCAGGTGTATATCAGTATGTAGTGTCTCTACTTTAAAGAGTCCTCTCCTGATGATGTTCAGGTGTATATCAGTATGTAGTGTCTCTACTTTAAAGAGTCCTCTCCTGCTGATGTTCAGGTGTATATCAGCATGTAGCGTCTCTACTTTAAAGAGTCCTCTCCTGCTGATGTCCAGGTGTATATCAGTATGTAGTGTCTCTACTTTAAAGAGTCCTCTCCTGCTGATGTTCAGGTGTATATCAGCATGTAGTGTCTCTACTTTAAAGAGTCCTCTCCTGGAGGGAACACAGTGATTTTATCCTTTGCAGACCGTTTACATGCACTAAAACCTATAGAACACACTACAGGAAAGGGATAATCACAGAAAGCAGAATAGGGACTCTTTAAAGTAAAGGATCTGAATTCTTTCTCCGTCAGAAAGTTATATTTCTGTGACTCATTTAGAGCGGAAAGTGGAGCACTGGAGGGAAGGATTTGATTTCCCATGATGCATCACTGATAGCGGTATTTCACATGAATGTCACGCCGTCTCCCTCTCATGTTTCTGCAGAGGATAGACTCTCCAATGTTAGACAAACCAGATCAATACGCCATATAAAACTGTGTGTGTGTGTGTGTGTGTGTGTGTGTGTGTGTGTGTGTGTGTGTGTGTGTGTGTGTGTGTGTGTGTGTGTGTGTGTGTGTGTGTGTGTGTGTGATACATGAAAGCTCTTGTCTCTATATTAAGTGTTAGTTTCTGACAATAAAATCCACATTTTTAACAAAACAAAGGTTGAAAAGTGAAAAACTTCCCTACAGTATGGATTTACATTTCCAACATGTCTGTATCGCTGCTGACTTAAAGCCTGAGTTTCCTGCAAATTCAGATTCAAAACAGTGATAAAAATCTTCAATATCTGAGAAGAAAATCCATGTTTTGAACATATTGTATCAAAGACAGGAAATCAGCCTCGAGTGAATTACAAATTCAAAACATACTACATTTAGATTTAAAACCCAACGCTGGAGAAAAACATTAGTTTCTGAGAATAAAGTCGATGTTTCTAACAGAATTAAGATGGAAAATCATTTACCTTATTTACACCTTGAGTTCCTGTCAATGTTTAAATCTCTACCCATAAATAAACATATAACGTATAAAATTCAGATTGAAAACCCAATGGTGGAAAATCAACAGCATTTTCTGAGACTAAAATCGATATTTTTAACAAAAGAAAGTTAGAAAATCAACCATTTTCATTTCAAACATGTCTGTATCGCTGCTGCCTTGCAAGTCTCTTACTTATTTATAAATAATTGTATTTCCTGTAAATGTTAAAAAATCTACATTCAGGTTCAAAGACCCGAGTTGAATCAGTGTTCGAGTGTATTCCTGCTGATTGAGATATGCATTGCATTATTCATACATTAAGCTACCTGCAAGTGTTACATTTAAACACACATTCAGAATCAACAACCAACACTGACGGTAAAATGGACATTTTTTACAGAACAAATTAGCAAAATCTGCCATTTCCCTCTCAAACATGTCTCAGTGAACATCAGACAGTGAAGGGTTAACTGCAGACAGAAGATGACGTCCGCCAGCGCCTTCAGTTCTGCTCTGATCCAAAGGAGGGAATTATGTGCATTTTAAACCCCTCTTCCTGTTGTAAAATGCATGAGGGCGAGGAACCTGAACACAACACGGCCTGCACACACACTTCCTGTTTCCTCACGGTCTACAGAGGAGACGTGGGTTTGTGTGTTTCAACAAGTCGACTTTCCTTCAGTGTAATCTCAAATACAAAATCGTTTTCCAGCGCTTCCTGTCCCCTGGGCTGGAGAGCAATGTTTCTGTGATGGTTGTTAGTCTCAAATAATGTTTTATTCTACGATGTTAAATATGTCAGTAAATACCCTTTTTGACTTTGAGTGGTAGCTACTCTGTTTAAGGACCATTATTATATTATTGAATCTGTCTTGTTGCTTCAGTGTCTGGAAGGTTAGTCTTCCTGTTCTCCCTCTTTAGAAACCGGAGGTCTGCACACTGTAATTACAGATCATTACACAGCTCTTCAAAACACACACACACACACACACACGCACGCACGCACGCACGCGCACACACACACACATAGACAGAAGCACACTCACACACACACACACACACACACACACACACACACACACACACACACACACACACACACACACACACACACACACACACACACACACACACACACACACACACACACACACACTGTGACAGATGCAAGAATCTGTCATCTCAAAGAAAAGGTGGATAATAAAAAGACATTTCTGATTCGTGGAGGCCTGTTATTATCAGACATGACGTGTGTGTGTGTGTATGTGTGTGTGTGTGTGTGTGTGTGTGTGTGTGTGTGTGTGTGTGTGTGTGTGTGTGTGTGGTGTGTGTGTGTGTGTGTGTGTGTGTGTGTGTGTGTGTGTGTGTGTGTGTGTGTGTATGTTTCAGGATTTTGCCCTCAGATCTGTCTAATAAAAACGTGCTTTGAGGTTATTTTTCTATTATATTATTGTATCTCATACGATCCTATCTTTTATATATCATCTCATGGTTCTCTCCCTCTCCTGTGGTGCTCTCTGTGTTATCACACTCCTCTCTGGCTTCATCGCGACTGACTGTGAGATCAGAAGCCAGACTGTACCCGTGACATTGTGGAGGAGTTCTGTTTGTGTGGTATTGATTCTGCCTCTTCATTTAACCCTCCATTTAACCCGTGTGTGTGTGTGTGTGTGTGTGTGTGTGTGTGTGTGTGTGTGTGTGTGTGTGTGTGTGTGTGTGTGTGTGTGTGTGTGTGTGTTTCAGATCTGTCGGAGAAGAAGAGCGACCTGAGAGTGTGTGATGACTCCAGCTGTCGGTACGGAGGCGTCTGCAGAGACGACGGCGCGCAGCTCAAATGTGTCTGCCAGTTCCAGGTATTAGATTCTAACTCACTGCAAAGTATTTATTTAGGATAAACCCCCCCTGTTTGCAAGGGGGTCCTAACATATCAGTCTCCTTGCCAGCTTAGTGAACCCTGAAATGTTGAGGACCCCAACGTTTTATGATATAAAATGTACAGTAGGGTCTCCAGCCCATAGAAACTGCCGGATGCTAACCTGCAGATGTTGGGACATTTGCACAATTAGCATAAGTTAATGACCTTAATGACTTAATTGAGGATGTTGAGTCCATTTCAGGACCCATTCCAGGACCCATTCCAGGACCCATTCCAGGATAAAAAATGGCAGTTTTAACCAGAAAGTGGACGTATTTGTACTCAATATTCTGACTACCATGAGTAGTGTTGGGACCATTGGATATAGAGAGCACACGATGAACATTATGACCTCTACTGTGGAGGATTTATCTCTAAATAAATAAGCAATCTGTGTATCTCAAAATAACGAGACAAAGCATTTCTAAACATTTGAAATTTGAAAGTGAGTTCAGCTTCAGGTGCTCACCTTTAATAATAGTGTGTGTGTGTGTGTGTGTGTGTGTGTGTGTGTGTGTGTGTGTGTGTGTGTGTGTGTGTGTGTGTGTGTGTGTGTGTGTGTGTGTGTGTGTGTGTGTGTGTGTGTGTGTCTGTGTCTCTGTGTCTGTGTCTGTGTCTGTGTGTGTGTGTGTGTGTGTGTGTGTGTGTGTGTGTGTGTCTGTGTGTCTGTGTCTCTGTGTCTGTGTCTGTGTCTGTGTCTGTGTGTGTGTGTGGCTTTCTTATAGACTCATGTCCACCTGAAGGAAAACTGATCCAGAGTCAACACACACACACACACACACACACACACACACACACACACACACACACACACACACACACACACACTGAGATGCTGCCTGCTTGACGGACAGGAGGATGTGAACAAATACAAAAATAAGAGAGGAAGTCAACAAGCTGCAAAAAAAAGAAGACCTTGAGTGGACGTTGCTGTAGTTGTGGCTGTCACATGCACACACTTGAGCATGTGTGTGAGCTGTGTGAAACGTGTGTGTTTGTGTGTGTACTATGTGTTTATACTGTGTGTAAGACCTGTGTGTATGTGTGTGTGTGTGTGTGTGTGTGTGTGTGTGTGTGTGTGTGTGTGTGTATAGAGGTCACAGTCTGTGCTAAATGATTGATGGCTGTGAGTTACTAGAATATGGATTGTCACACTGATATGTCTCTGACAGCAGAGTGACCTTCATCAGAGAGTCAAACTCAGAGCGCCGTCACTCCTCAGTAACAAGTCCTCAATGCATTCAAGCTTCAAGGCTTTTATGTTCATGTGCACGTAGCTACAGTGTAGATATGTACACATGAAGACCTGAGGTCACAGGCTCCTCCCACAGTGCAACACAATAAAACAGATCAAATAGTGCAAGTAAATAAAATAGAATATAATAGAAACAGAATATGATAGAAACTGAGCAGAATAGTCGATATACAGTAATTGGAATATTGATATATGTGAGTTGCAAACAGATGAATGTTCGTTCAAAAGAATTCAAGAAGCTTCCCTTGAGTCAAACTGTAGAAACCCCTCGCCACCGGGTTTAGTTTCTTGGAGAGTCTAATTGTTCTCGTCCAGCGTTCACGTTCAGACTTACTTTAAGTTGTGTTTTTGTTTCCAGTGCCACAAGAACTACGTCCCGGTGTGCGGCTCTAACGGAGACACGTATCAGAACGAGTGCTACAGGCGGCAGGCGTCCTGCAAGCAGCAGAGGCTGATCTCCAGAGCGTCCGATGGACCCTGCTCCTCCGGTGAGTCTCAAGGAAATACTCAAGTGCTCCAATACCCCTTTTCAGTTCCAGGTTCAGTTCAGAGCCCGACTGTGACCACTTTCTTTCCGTGTTTCCGCCACAGCTGGTCCCTAAACTGCTGGTCCCTAAACTGCTGGTCCCTAAACAGCTGGTCCCTAAACTGCTGGTCCCTAAACCGGTCGGCATTTTGAACCAAAATACTACTGGGCTAGAACCAAGAACCGAATATGTTAGGCCTACATCAGATTAACTAGTATTAGTTTTTAGTAGAAAGTAGATTAGTCAGTTAGCGTTAACCAGGCAGAGTGTGTTTTCCAGTTGTTTTAATATATAATATTATATAATACATGTGCTACACAGGTTGCCATGTCAGACTATCACCAGTAAGATCATAATGGAAAACACGCCAGTAGAAACGACTTATGCCACAATATGATAGCAACAAGCAGTCGTCTCCATTGTTGTTGTTGTGGGTGGTGTTGTAGAGAAAATCCGCGATGACGCAACGACTCAGTTCCACCTGGACACTGGGCGGTGGAAAAGGAACTGGTTTGCATCTCCAAATCATCTCCGCACCAAAAAAAGCACTGAGCTAGAACCAGAAAGGGTTATAATAAGTCCTCACACCACTCCTCCAGTACGTCTATATCTGGTAACACGTTGCATGAGGTTGCAAAAGAGCATTTCAGTTGGCAAGTAAAGGTTGTCGAAGCAATAGCAATTAAACTCAACATATGAAAAGAACACATTTAGACTCAGCATTCACATTTATGTTGGGGTTGTTGGTGATAAAATGAAGCGTGGAGTCTGGGAATAAGATGTATTAAACTCCCGTGAAGTGAAAGGGTTAAATGAAACTCTCTGCTCTCCAGTCTGAGAGCCAATCAGCTGCAGGAGGATTGGAGCGGCTCTCATCCTCTGCTGCTAATTAAAATGGATCCGTTGATTAACGTCCTCGTCGTCTGAAATCAATCCGTCTGATGACGCTCTTCAGAGGAAAAATCACTCGGCATGTTCCCTCAATTAAAAAAACACAATGACGTGAGCGTGAACGCTGCAGCGTGACGGTTTCATTAAAACATATGATCCAGGCACTTATGGTCACATTACAGGACAATCACCCTGAGTGCTTTCACACTTTAAATGATGACTTCAATCAGTCGTTAAGCTCAGGGAAACCTGCTCAAATGCTTTTAATGATGCAGTCTATTGAGATGAACCTTTTCTGGGGTTTTTCCTACATTTGATTACAGGGTTTCAGCACTTTATATCCAGTGTCTTATTTTCTAAGTGGAAAAAAAACCCCTACTGTATATGAAAACGTGAGGTTTTATTCTCACACAATATATATATATAGCTCCATAAAACATCAAGTGACCAATTCAAAATGTTTTATCTTATTTTTTTATTATTTAGCAGCAGTTGACCAATCACAACAGAGTCGGCCAGCTAACCAATCAGAGCAGACTGGGCTCTGGTTTCAGACAGAGGGTGAAAAGAGGTGCTGCAGCACAGGCAGTATGAGAGAAATAAAGAGCTTTTTGAAGACACTACATACTGAAATACACCTGAACATCAGCAGGAGAGGACTCTTTAAAGTAGAGACACTACATACTGATATACACCTGAACATCAGCAGGAGAGGACTCTTTAAAGTAGAGACACTACATACTGATATACACCTGAACATCAGCAGGAGAGGACTCTTTAAAGTAGAGACACTACATACTGATATACACCTGAACATCAGCAGGAGAGGACTCTTTAAAGTAGAGACACTACATACTGATATACACCTGAACATCAGCAGGAGAGGACTCTTTAAAGTAGAGACACTTCATACTGATATACACCTGAACATCAGCAGGAGAGGACTCTTTAAAGTAGAGACACTACATACTGAAATACACCTGAACATCAGCAGGAGAGGACTCTTTAAAGTAGAGACACTTCATACTGATATACACCTGAACATCAGCAGGAGAGGACTCTTTAAAGTAGAGACACTACATACTGATATACACCTGAACATCAGCAGGAGAGGACTCTTTAAAGTAGAGACACTTCATACTGATATACACCTGAACATCAGCAGGAGAGGACTCTTTAAAGTAGAGACACTACATACTGAAATACACCTGAACATCAGCAGGAGAGGACTCTTTAAAGTAGAGATACTACATACTGAAATACACCTGAACATCAGCAGGAGAGGACTCTTTAAAGTAGAGACACTACATACTGATATACACCTGAACATCAGCAGGAGAGGACTCTTTAAAGTAGAGACACTACATACTGATATACACCTGAACATCAGCAGGAGAGGACTCTTTAAAGTAGAGACACTTCATACTGATATACACCTGAACATCAGCAGGAGAGGACTCTTTAAAGTAGAGACACTACATACTGAAATACACCTGAACATCAGCAGGAGAGGACTCTTTAAAGTAGAGACACTTCATACTGATATACACCTGAACATCAGCAGGAGAGGACTCTTTAAAGTAGAGACACTACATACTGATATACACCTGAACATCAGCAGGAGAGGACTCTTTAAAGTAGAGACACTTCATACTGATATACACCTGAACATCAGCAGGAGAGGACTCTTTAAAGTAGAGACACTACATACTGAAATACACCTGAACATCAGCAGGAGAGGACTCTTTAAAGTAGAGATACTACATACTGAAATACACCTGAACATCAGCAGGAGAGGACTCTTTAAAGTAGAGACACTACATACTGATATACACCTGAACATCAGCAGGAGAGGACTCTTTAAAGTAGAGACACTACATACTGATATACACCTGAACATCAGCAGGAGAGGACTCTTTAAAGTAGAGACACTACATACTGATATACACCTGAACATCAGCAGGAGAGGACTCTTTAAAGTAGAGACACTACATACTGATATACACCTGAACATCAGCAGGAGAGGACTCTTTAAAGTAGAGACACTACATACTGATATACACCTGAACATCAGCAGGAGAGGACTCTTTAAAGTAGAGACACTACATACTGATACACACCTGAACATCAGCAGGAGAGGACTCTTTAAAGTAGAGACACTACATACTGATATACACCTGAACATCAGCAGGAGAGGACTCTTTAAAGTAGAGACACTACATACTGATATACACCTGAACATCAGCAGGAGAGGACTCTTTAAAGTAGAGACACTACATACTGATATACACCTGAACATCAGCAGGAGAGGACTCTTTAAAGTAGAGACACTACATACTGATATACACCTGAGCATCAGCAGGAGAGGACTCTTTAAAGTAGAGACACTACATACTGATATACACCTGAACATCAGCAGGAGAGGACTCTTTAAAGTAGAGACACTACACACTGATATACACCTGAACATCAGCAGGAGAGGACTCTTTAAAGTAGAGACACTACACACTGATATACACCTGAACATCAGCATTAGAGAGAAACTTCACAGACATGTTTTATATAGGTATGACCCTACAATATATTTTTCAAATATAGCATGATAGGTCCACTTTAATGTAGCATGGCAGCGATAAATCGCTAACGGTTAGCATGTTTCTCATCAGACAGCCGCCAGACTCTCTGGATACGGAGGTCTCTGCAGAGCAGTCAGGCTTTATGTTCCTGCTCTTGAACACAGCCTCCATTAAAGAGGCTGTTGTTAAATTACAGGCTGTTTTTAACATTATTCAGACTCAGCTCTCTGAACTTAAGCTTCTTTTAAATGTTGAGAAAACCAAGGTAATGCTTTTTTCAAACGCTAAAAAGACACCAGAGCCTGTTTTAGATATTGTTACTATGCAAGGACAAGTACTAGAAGTGGTTGCCTGTTATAAATACCTTGGTATCTGGCTTGATGATTGTCTTACTTTTAAACTTCAGGTCACTAATCTGCTTAAAAAGCTGAGGGTTAGACTAGGTTTCTTTTTCAGAAACAAGTCCTGTTTCTCACTTGAGGCCAGGAAGAGGCTCTGTGACCTTTGACCTGTGCTGGACTATGGTGATCTGGTCTATATGAATGCACCTGCCCATTGCCTGAACAAGTTAGATGCCGCCTATCACAGCGCACTGAGATTTGTCACTAATTGTAAAGCACTTACTCATCACTGTACCCTGTATGCCAAGGCAGGTTTGCCATCACTAACTGTACGGAGGCTCAGTCATTGGTACACGTTTATTTATAAAGCTTTGTTGGGTAAACTCCCGTATTATATCAACTCTCTGATAACACAGAGAGTTGCAAGCTATTGTCTGAGATCGCATGATGTAGTCTTGTTAGATGTGCCAAGAGCAAGGACTGTCTTAGGTAAGACAGCTTTTATGTGTGCAGCTCCACTTGCTTGGAACAATCTTCAGCAAGAATTGAAACTGAGCAATCTCATTCCTCTGCATGTTTGTAAAGCTAGGCTAAATGAAATGCTCGTTGATACTGTGGGTACTTGTAAATGTCTATAACTATGTAAATGTATCCTGTAAATATAATGTATGATGTCCTTTATTGTTTTATGTTTCATGTGGAACCTATATGCTGCAGGTCTCCCTTGAAAAAGAGATCTATGATCTCAATGGGACCAATCTGGTTAAATAAAGGTTTGAAATGAAAGGAAATTGAGATGTGTTTAGGGATCAGTACCCCAGCAGCAGCGGAGGTGGAGGTGGCGTACAGCTCGGTCTAATTTCCCAGGAGGCACCGCTCTTATTACCCGTTACCCCGGGGAGCCGGCGCTGCGTTCAGCCCTCGCCTCCCGCCTGTCCTTCTGCAATTTCCTCTCCCCAGATTTATGCTTCCTGTAATTGAAGAGTTGGGCGTTACTGAGGCGAGGCGTCAGGAAGCATCAGTCATGTCCTTTCTAGGGCTGCCCCCAATTAGTCGACTAAACGTTAGTATTTGTCGACTCATTTTTCTTTAGTCAATTAGTAAATTCAAGCAGTCCGTGCTGCATGTGACGCGTCAGCCGGAAACCCTCAGA